GCGGAGCCGTGGTTAGGGGCGGAGCGACAATCTCGTAGAAATCCGCTAAATCGCCTGGGTGTGCCTTTTCTAAAGTATCACACTTCGAAGGCACAAAATTTCGCTCCTACCGATGAAACTAGATGACCATACCCACTGCCTTTAAGTTTCACTAATTCACCCTCAAGAAATTGATCTGATACAATACTTCAGTGATAATATTTCAGACCCGGATTATATGCATTCTTCGTTCCACTTGCTCTCGTTCTTATAACAGCACTCTTAATCGAGATGGTAGCCATTCATTACTCAAAGAAATTGGATGAATATGAGAAAAGAGTAGAAGCTATCTATCAAGAACACCAACAACACAAGAAGGAAGATAGTGATTCTTTAACTGAATGCAGTGCAATAGGAATTGATACAGACGATGCATTCTTCAAGAATTTAGCGCAATAGAATTCGACCTAGAAAATACGTTCTGCAAAGAATTTTAGCTCTTAAATTGTTTTTCGTATTTGGACCTCGTATTTCAAAGTTTAGATGCATTCAATTGAGAATATATTACAATGAATAAATAGGTATTGCCTAGTTGGGTTATAACTATTCTGTAGGCACCATCATGATTGCCAAAACAACATATATCTATGAAGCATATACACTACGCAAAATACATCAGATCACAAATTTCCTCATTACACAGCACTCATTTTATCTTCTTGCACGAACAATGCGGTAAACTACAAAAACTCCTAACGAAATCACTGCAAGCCCAATAGACACATATAGCACCTCCGTCACGAGAGAAGGGCTGGAATGGGAATTTTAATTTACCCACCTCTATAATTACACCCCTCAGAACCTTTTCAGCAACATATAAAACCCATGCACTTACTTGCGGGGGTCCAAATAACTCATCGGCCTCTTCGGAGTACGCGGCACGTCATCGAGGATTGAATGCACCGATGGAGCACCACTGGTTACGGAATCTCCGTCTTCGTCCTGCCCCTTCCAGTCACCTCCTGGTGAAGGCGACGGCGTTGATCGTGCATAGAAACCATCTCCTGAACGTGATATAAACTTAGAATTTGAGGAAAAATTCGACAGGTGAAGATTTCACCACATCAACTCACCAAAACTTCGTCGAGAAGCAGGAGTTAGTGAACCTAAGAGCATGTCAGTTTCTAAATGTGGAGGTGATTTTCCACCACAGATGTGAGAGTCAATAGACAAGTGTTCCTGGAACAAAGAGCATCTAACTCCAGTCCCTACGAAACAATAACAATAGCCTCCCGGCAGAAAAAAAAGAGAATAAAAGGATATTTTTGAAAAATAAAAATTATATGTAGGTGCTCTTACCAAAGTAAGATACCCCAGCATGGCTTAGAAACCTCGTGGGGGAGAACAAGAAGTAAAAGACAGGTATGAGATTGTCTGCAAAAGAACTACTGGCCAATATCGGAATAACTAACATCAGAAATTGATAGTTTTTTTTCAGTTGTGGGTAATTACGGAAAGATTTCCGTAAAAGAACATATCAGAGCTTGAAATCCTAACCCTGCGATTTTCCAATTTGGAGTGCTTCAATGTAGAGGAATTCTCTACTGCGGGAAAGGGATCGTATTCGCTAGGGTCCGTAGAGTATTTTCGAAAGGGTGGGAAGCAGGGTAACCGTCGCATTCGCACTTTTCCAAAAATTTTCCCCGCCCTTTAGAAGAAAAAAAAAAAACAAGTAACAAAAAACAAAAAAAAGAAAATAGAAGGGTTTCGGTGCGACTCCCCTACAGCGAGATCAGGACCCAGTCGACACACCCAACTCCGTCCATTTTTCTTCGAAACAGCTTCTTGAGTGGGGCGAGCGGGCGGGCGAGGGTGGGGGGGTGGCAGGTAAAATGTACATGAAGAGGCCAAATCCACTAATTCCCCATCCACTTTTGCCTACTTTTCATAAAACGTGTTTATCCAAGCTCTCGAAAAACCCGTCAAATTACAACCACCATTTCACAACCCCCTCCATACTTTTTCCAAAGGTAGTTTGCTCAACCCAAAATGCGGCCTCCTCCCCAAAATCGCGAAAGGACGGTTGACCCTGATGGAGAGTCTCAGCTGAGGATAGGGGAACATTATTCTTAAGAAACTATGGAGCTTCTATGCAGAAACTATGGGATTTCGGGAACTTCACAAAAATCTCATTCTCACTGCTTTTGACTAAGGGCAGGACCAATGGGTCGTGGAAGTTAGCTAGAAGAAGGGAGAACGGCCACTTTAATTTTCTGTACACCGACTGGTCCTGTTTCAATCCAGACTTTTTCACAAACCCTTGACACATCTGCTGCCCCTTACCCCCAAAAACTCCACGAATTCATGAGAAAAATTGGAAACAATTACTGCGAAAATGCGCACGTTAGAAAAAGAGATGTTACTTTTCGCGCATCACTGGTTCCCATGGTGCTTTCTATCACAGCACGAATGTTTTCTATTGCCTCTACTTTTCTCAAGTGTTATTACTAGGCGCAAAAATGAAGCACGTGAGATTTTCTAATTTCTTGAAAATACGACAGCAAAGGATTCATACATCAAAAATACTCACATTTCAAAATCCTGTTTTCAGCACCAATTTCTACAAGCAGATCAACGGTGGGCTGATTCTGAGCACGAAATATTGAGACAGCTTCATCGTGAGTCTTATTTAAGAGTTCTACTCCATTAATCTGAAAACATCCACGAATAAGACTACTCATTTTGGCTACTTTTTCTGCAACTTCTGGTTCCAAATAAAGAATTGAGGGGCTCGATAGTCTTCGAAACTCTATATGAAACAAATTCGAGCATGACAAACGCACACATTGGGTTTTGTATTTAAAAGACTGAAAACTGAAGATG